CAAGCCTCTCCCGTGCCCTCCAGCCTTTGCGCTTTGCTCCCGCTTGTGGTTCAACGCTTTGCCTCCCTGCCTTTTGTTTTGCTGCCTGCTGCGTCATCAGCTGTTTCTTTGTCATTGCTGCTTTTGGCTGCATTAGGGTTCTCCAATCACTCACTTGGATGCATGCGTTCCTCTTTGGGTGTTGTGATCGTATTGTGCATGGTTTTGTACCATACTGAGGATAAACGAAAATGCGTTTCACCAGTGGTTTTCACACACATCTCCACACACACACACACACACACACACACTGTTTCACCAGTGGTTTTCACACACATCTCCATACACACTCATGGCACATGTACTCTACACACACACACACACACACACACACACACAGACTGTGCTAACCAGGTCCAACGCTTGCCCACCCATGTGGCTGAATCAGAAACCTGTGTGTGTGTCTAACCGCGGATCAGAAAATGGTACAAACCAGTGTGCGTGTGCACGACGTTTGACACACATGGCCTGAACCAGGGTCAGAAATTAGAACCATGTGCTAATCAGGTCCAGCACTTCAAACCAGGGTCAACAATTAGAACCATGTGCTAATCAGATCCAGCACTTGCCCGTTCAGCCATGTAGACAAATGATATGTGGATGTACCTGTTGAGATGGACACAAGTCAGAAGTTCGAATCCTGATGGAATTAGATGGACACAAGTCACACAACAAAGCTAGTGAGATTCAACACCTTCGTATCACAGCCACCGGAGCATCTGATACTGGCCTCCGCTAAGTAGCAATTAACCCCTTCGCTTCAGCACACTGCCCTAGTTACGGCTATGCGTTTTAATAGTCCATCATGGTCGGAACTGTGTGCTGAATTATGTGGGACACCGCACCATCTGCTAAACCATGTGGTAAACTATGATTACTCCAACTATGGTTAGATTAGTCCAACTTTGGTTTAGATTAGACCAACTATTTAGTCCAACTTTGGTTTAGATTAGACCAACTATGGTTCGATTTGTCCGACTATGGTTAGATTAGTCCAACTATGGTTAGATTAGTCCAACTTTGGTTTAGATTATAGTCCAACTATGGTTCGATTTGTCCGACTATGGTTAGAGTAGTCCAAGTATGGTTAGATTAGTCCAACTATGGTTAGATTAGTCCAACTTTGGTTTAGATTGTAGTCCAACTATGGTTCGATTTGTCCAACTATGGTTAGATTAGTCCAACTATGGTTAGAAGATTAGTCCAACTTTGGTTTAGATTAGTCCAGCTATTGTTAGATTAGTCCAGCTATGGTTAGATTAGTCCAGCTATGGTTAGGAATCAATAGGCTAAGTCAGACCTGTGCGGTGTGAAAGATAGGCGAAGTCCTCTGCTAAACCATGTGGTTTAAGCCACAGGTGGTAAAAGTCACATGTGGCAAGGAATGTGCTAAATAAACCAGAAGAGTGGAGATATGCAGGCACACACTCTGATGAAACCTAACACATGGTCGAACCAGAGGTTAAAAGCAAGGTGTCTACAGCATGGTGCAAAATCTCAAGGGGGTAATACATAATACATAACAGTCTAAGGGCCTCATCGCACTACTCGCCATCCGCCAACATTTCGATTGCATGTGGACAGCATTCTGTCCAGATGCATTCAAAATCTTCGCAGATGGCGAGTAGTGTAACCAGGGCCTAATCCACGGTTCACAATGCGAACCTTGGTTTAAAAGCAGGTCATGACACAACCAGCATCAGGATATCGGCAAAATTCTAAGTCCTAACCCATACCTGGTACAACAGGTCACAGGGGCAACACACATGGTCCATGCCTCGTCTGAACATGGCCTTGAACACGGCCTTATGCAAGGTCTACGCCCGGTCTGACGCGGTATAACACAATGTCTACACCTGGTCTACCAGAGGTTCATACTTGGTCGAATATGGTCTAACACAAGGACTATAGCGAGCCCTATACTCTCCAGGCCGAGCACAGTGGGCCTAAGTAGATTTGAACTATGGACTTAACACTTATCAGGCGTATACTCCAACCAACGGAGTAATAGACCCAAGCGCTTGGAAAGACTTCGAGTCTTCACAGCGAGTTCTTCACTACGAATATCTTCAACAGCGGCCTTGAATAAGTCGTTGCCGTCTCGTTGTGGACTTGGGTCTATACCTGGTCTCTAATAGAAACAGCACATCCGAGCCCTCTTGTGCACAAGGTGTAGTCCCCCTGCGCGGCGAGCTTTGCCGAAATACCAGCGTGGTGTGTGTGTTTTTGTTTTTGCCACTTTTCTCTTTCTCATTTTGGCTGATGCCACCAGCCATTAAAACCATTTTGGTCTGGTTGCCCCCAGCTTCAGGAAGTTTAGGAATGAGTCAATTGTTTTTTTATTTTTTATTTTTTTAGGAATGAATCAATTGGGTCTGTTACTCAAGTCGCTCCGGAACACGTACACTGGTGGTCTACAGACGTAAACCCAGGTCTATAGGGCCTATAGCTTGGACAAGCATGGTCTTCCACAAGATCATAGATAATTCAGTCAGCCCCAGCTACTATAGTCTATAGGGCCTCCATGTTGCAACCTAAAAGCCACTTACATCCCGTGGTTACATATATCTTTTTTCTTTTTTTTTCTGTTTTTTACCTGTAGCTAAACGCCACGTGCCGCATAGCGCTAGGGGATTTATCCACCACATCCTCCTCCGACGAGGTAGGCACCCCCGAATTAAGTGCCGATTGGGCGGGACCCGCGATACGCAGTCGGTCACGACCCACATCGGGAACGCAATGTCCAGCCACGGACCTGTGTTGGCTATTCTTTCTACGGCTTCGTTTTCCTCGCCAGGTTCAGCATCGTCTTCCCGACCAAAAATGCTCAGCAAGGTTGGTCGCTTCAGGAGGGTTTCGTCGTTGGCTTTTCCTCTTTGTACTTCGTAACTTGGGCTGGTGCAACATGGGGTTTCGTTGTTGCTTTTACGTGGTCCAGTGTAGTCTAACACAATGTCTATAGATGGTCCATTGCATGGTGCTTTTACCTGGTCCACTATAGTCTGATCCACTGTCTATAGATGGTCTATAGATGGTCCAGAATAGTCTAGCACAATGTCTATAGATTAGATGGTCCATCGCATGGTGCTTTTACCTGGTCCACTATAGTCTAATACAATGTCTATAGATGGTCTATAGATGGTCCAGAATAGTCTACATGGTCTGTAGATGGTCCATCGTATGGTCTTCAAGTGGGGTGCGATGCAAACAACTCCCGAGAGCAACACAGCCATAGCCAAATTGAATTGATAATTCAATAGAGTCTTATATCTAATAATTCCATCACAAATGGCAGGGCACTAAAGCTGTATATCTGGCGTGGTTTCCAGGCCTGATACAGCTGTACCGACCTCTGATATATTCCGTGAATAAAAAGATAGGACTCTGCGCATAACACGACACGGAATGAAAAGTTCACGATAAATTCTCTCCACAGACTGAAAGCGCACGAAAGACGCTGCTTACAAAGGAACACGGGGGGAATGATTTGGGGAGAGGAAACGCACACGCGAGCACATAATCAGACTGCTAGACTTGTCAGCTGCCCAAGGTCTTGCTTGCTCCTCTTCTAGTTTCTTGTGAAAGGGGATGAAAGCATAGCCGAGGGGGAACCAGGGATGGCAAAGAGAAAGAAAGAGGAGGAGAACAGGAAGAATAAGCAGAAGCAGAAGGAGAAGCAGCACAAAAAGGAGGGGAAGAAAAGGAGAAGGAAGAAGAAGCATTCTTCCTACTGATGATGATGATTCTCCTCCTCCTTTCTCTTCTTCCTGTGTTTCCTGTTATTCTGCCTGTTCCTCTGCCGCTGCTGCTTCTTCTACTTATTCTTATTCTTCTGCCGCTGCTGCTGCTCAAGAAGAAGAAAAGGTGGAGGAGGAGGAGAAGAAGAAGTTGAAGAAGAAGAAGAAGAAGAAGAAGAAGAAGAAGAAGAAGAAGAAGAAGAAGAAGAAGAAGAAGACAAAGACGAAGAAGACGACGACGAAGAAGACGAAGACGAAGACGAAGAAGACGACGAAGACGAAGACGAAGACGACGGCGAAGAAGACGACGACGACGAGGACGACGAAGAAGAAGAAGAAGACGAAGAAGAAGAAGAAAGAAAAAAGTAGGCAGCGGAGGAGGAGGATAGAGAGAAGGACAAGAAGAAGAAGAAGAAGAAGAAGAAGAAGAAGAAGAAGAAGAATACAGAAGAGGAAGAAGAGAAGAAGAAGAAGAAGAAGAAGAAGAAGAAGAAGAAGAAGAAGAAGAAGAAGAAGACAGAAGACAGAAGAAGAAGAAGAAGAAGAAGACAAGGAAGAAGAAGAAGAAGATCCTATTCTGCTTGGTGGTTTTGCCGGTCAGAGCGCTAGCATTTCAGATGTGTTCTCTTTGGCAATGACTTTGTCATCATTGTGGCCATATACTTCCTTCGATGAGGAAGGTCTTTGAAGCTGCAAAACCGCGAGGTCAGACTGCCAGATGTTAGAGTATGAGATCCAGTCAGCAAACATTGAAGCAGCAGGGTAGACCAAAGTGTTTTTGACGCCAAAGAATTTTCATCATCTTGAAAAACTGCAAAAATGCAAAAGAAAATAGTACACAGAAGACGACCACGCCGCGCCTACACCTTTCTTCTCTCTACTTCTCTCTGCCAGCCAGTCCCTCTCTCTCAGTGCCACACCCCCGTCATGACTACAACGAACCAGCGGCTATTGAAGAGCAAATACAAATTTTGTTGATGATCAGGGGGGGGGGGGGAGATACACATGAAGACAAGAGGTAGGTTGCTGTTGTGGGGAAGGGGTGGAGAATGGGACAGGAGGAGGGAACAAAGAACAAAGTGAGGGGTACAAGGTACACTCACCAAAGAAAAATAATATGTACAAACCAGCTTAAAGCTGCTGCGAGACCACTACCAATAAGAAGGACTCCTGCCAAGTGAGTGAAACAGGGGATGGAGCAAGGTTCTACTACACCCTTCGACTACTCGCCGTCACTGCTGAGGGTGCCTGTGGATGCCTAAATGCCGACTTCCTTTGCGATGCAACGTCGCTGTGGGCGGTGGAAGCAACACGCCTTCGTTCCGGCGTCAGCTCCACGGTACCCGCAGGCCGTCTGGTCTTCGCCAACCCTCCTGTAACTGGAGCTGAAGATGGGTGAAAATCAATTATGCCCCCTCCCGTCTCCGGCCGGTTCCACCGCTGCTTTCTTCCGCGCCCGTCCTCCACATCCATATCCTCCCATCTTCTCCACCCATGGCTCCCTGGCCTCCCGTTTCCCCTCGCCTCCTGCAATTCCTCCGACAAATGCGGATCTCTTTTCCTTTCGGAACTAGGCACTGCTACTACTTTCCTCCTTACACTCTGACCGGCTGAGCCCTTTTCGCCGACTGCTGCGCCGTGCTGAGAACACCCTCGCAAACTGTCATTGACTACAGGCAGCAGCTCATGGGGCCCCCCACAGCGGCTGGGAGCCGGCATAAAGCTGGCTCTCCTATTGCTGTTCATGCTGAGAGGGAGTGGTGCTGATGCACAACCTGGATCGGCATTTCCTTCTCTTGCTGAATCCAGTCCAGCCGGGAGACTGGCGTTGACTTTGACTTCTCCGCCTGGACGCCTCAGTGCACTCCTCTTCTTCTTATGGGTCGGAATGTCCAGCGAATGCAAGGATGGCGGGGTGTCGACAGGAAGATGATTGGGCGCAGCATCCGTTTTCGGAGCAACAAGCTCCGTGCCATTCTTCTCGCAGCCGCCATTGATCACATCCTTAGGAGGAGGAGGAGGAGGAGAGATGGGCCCCCTCCAAACAATCGAACCAGTCCTCAAGCCCCTTGGAATTCTACCGCCTCGCTTGCCCTTCCCTACTCCGCCGAGCGTTCCACGTGAGGCCCCAGAGTCGCTGCTCTCACAGCCACTGTGGATGCCGCTCCTCCTCTCACCGACAACAACCCGCTCCTCTTTGGTCGAGAGGCCCCACGAGGACTTTGAATACCTGTCGTCCAGCGAAAAAGTGCCCTCCTTGTTTTGACCTCCTCTCTTCCTCGTGTCATTCCACCCCTCGTCTAACGGAGAACACCTCTCAGAATCCGACCGCTTAATCACAAACTTCAGCCCTCCTCTTCCACTTCCGTCTGCCTCACTTGAATTGCCACCGTCCTTGGACGGTGGCGATCGCAATCCCGACTCTGGGTCCCTCTCCGACGCCCGTGGCGATCGGATAACGACTCGGAAAGGTAGTTTCTTCGATTGCGACCCTCCTGAGGGGGTGGGCGACACCACCCGTTGCCCGTCCTCCCCGTCCTTCGAGCCCGTGGCTCTGACACTGAGCTTGATGGCCGGTGGCCGTGGCGATTTCATAATCGCCTCTCCTCCTCCTCCTCCTCCTCCTTCCCTTAGCATCTCCTGGCCGCGGTCCTCTTGTGCACTCCAGCCCCTCGATGTTTGTACCGCGTTTGCAGATGGACGATCACTCCTCAATTCGCAAACAGCACTCTTATCCACCCTCGCCCTATCTGCGGTGGTGGAAGGGGCGGCACCCGAAGGATCCCTCCACCATTCTGGCACCCCTGCGCCCCCCCCCCTCCACTTATCACCGCCATTGGATTCCACAAGGAGCTTCACTCTCTTTTTCGGTCTTGTCAACAACTCTCCACCCGTTGTGGTCGGACTTGGCATATCCAGGGGTGAGGCTGTGGCCTCACCCTTGCTCGTACACTTACCCCCTGTTGTCGCTGGAGCTCTCGACTGCCTTAGAGCCTCCAAAGCATGGGACCACGTCTCCTTGCGCTTCTCCTTGGGCTTCTCCTTCTCCTTCTCCTTCTCCTTCTCAATGGGAGTGGACCTGACTTCTGTTTGCGTGTGCCGGTTGTCGTCATTGGAAAGCTGCGACTTCGGTGACAGAGTCTGCCGCGGTGCAGCGAGATCGGGAGAGGCTGCCTCCCCTTGTTGCTCCTCTGCCCCAGGCTTTGCTTCATGCTTCGACTTCGCGTTCGGAAGAATAACATGCCCGCTTTTCGGCTCAGCTCCAGCGGGCTTGGCACCAGCCTGCACTGCTGCCATCCGCAGCAAGTCCGCAACCAGTTCATCTCCCGGCAGCGGTATAATCATTTTCTGAAGAAACGAAGAACCTGAGCACATGAACATCTGCAGCTCTGACCGGTGCTTACGGATCTGACAACACGGAATCCAAAAACACAAAAAGACAAAAAAAAAAAACAGAAAAAAAAAACCATGTCAGAGTCTTGGCCATCTGTACCTGAAACATGCACCGGATGCATTTCGGCTTATCCAACATTCTGAGTGGGGATTTCAAAACAGTCCACGTACATTTAGAGTCGTGTCTGAGAGTTCATAAGAATCATAACCCATACTCCGCGAGATCCTCGTACCTGTTCCTCCGCCATTCTGGTAAAGCCAAAGCCATGGAGCCATGTGTCCTCTGCTCCTTGCGCTGCGGGAAGTACGAGTCGTTCCACTCTAAGCTTGCCAAGCATCCATTGAATCGCCGACAAAAGCGCACGACAGTGTCCCTGCCACCGACAACAACAAACACATGATTTTTTTATTTTCTTTTCTTTTTTTGGACTGTTAACAAACATAGTAAATACCTAAGAGATGCAGAACGAGATTTAAAAAAAAAAAAAAAAAAAAAAAAAAAAAAAAAAAAAAAAAAAAAAAAAAAAAAAAAAAAAAAAAAAAAAAAAAAAAAAAAAAAAAAAAANAGATGCTCATGTATCATCTTCTTTTTTTTTTTTTTTTTTTTTTTTTTTTTAAAAAAAAAAAAAAAAAAAAAAAAAAAAAAAAAAAAAAAAAAAAAAAAAAAAAAAAAACATACAAAGTTACAAACAAACAAATAAACACACAAATAAACAAACAAGTTTCACAAACAAAAACAAACACGCAAAACAGAGCTACAAAACGAACATAATAATTTATTAATAAATCATACCATTATAAATTATAATCAAGGCAAGGTATAAAAGATTCACGAAGAGTAATTCCAGTTCCGTCTGACTTGCTTTCTCTTTTCGTTATGCTTTTTTTTTCCCCCCCTGAAAGGGTCATGTTCAGCTGGGAACTTTCTGCTTCCCAACAATGACGATTGAATGTCCAGATGCTGCCAATCCTCCCTGGGCGGTCTGTCCGAGCCCGAACGGGTTATGCAGAAAAAGAAACTGAACAACTTTAGCCTTGGGATGACATCGGAATTCGTTGTCAAATTTAAAATAGAAAATACAATTAAAGACACCGCCAATTTTAACTATGTTAACGGGCACGACTCTAGGAAGTACTGGTGGTTTAGCTTAGGATAGATTTCCTGCCTTGGGCACCCAAAAAAAAAAAAAACCTGTAGAGGATTTTGCTAAGCTGCATGTAGGTAGCTGCATGTAGGTAGGTAGGTAGGTAGTGGGAGATATATCGAGAGAAGAATATAGGTTAGATAAAAGAAAAAGAATTTAATAAAAATTATATATATATATACAAGGTTGCCGGCGTTCGGGACAGGCCGAACGCCCGAAACCCGAACGCCCGAACGTTCGGCACCCCCTCTCGACGCATTCGGCCGTTCGGCCGAACGCAGACCCCAAAGGAAAAAAAAAAGAAAAGAAAAAGAATTCCAAAAAATCTGAAAAAAATATATGTTACGCATAAGAATAAACTAAACAACATTTGCCTCAACGTTACATCCAAATTCTTTACCAAATTTGAAATAAAAATCAAATACTAAAAATAAATAATAATAATGAAAATAAAAAAAAATAAAACGAGAATGAAATTATCGAGTGGGCGAGCACGTTTTTGACACCGTCATCTTCGGCGATTTTTTTTTTTTTTTTTGGCTGTGACAAATGCTATGAAAATTTATATATCTGTATCTTACATAATAGAGAATCTACAAAAAATAACAATTTTTTTCATGCCCCGAAATAAAGGAAAAACAAAAAGTGAAAAAAGAGAAAAAACAAATTAGCGAGTGGGCAAGTAAGTTTTGACACCACCATCTTTGAGGATTTTTTTTTTTTTTTTTTGGATGGACAGAATGGCTTCAAAATTAAGAGGGAGATACCTGACATCACAAAGAACTCACAAAAAAAAAATCAGAAAAAAACAAATATATATTTAGGTGCCAAAATATTTTTTTGTGGGGTCCGAACCCCTTCAAGTTCGGGCCCCGTACAGGGACCCGAATGCCCGAACGTTCGGGGGTCATCTTAGGGGCCTCCGTACGTTCGGCCTGGCAACCCTGTATATATATATCGTCACAAACAGAACTGCCCGGTAATATATATACATATATATATCGTCATATATATATTAGTATTTTTTGGCCCCTCGGCCGGGGAAAGTGGTCCCCCACCACTCTGGTAACCTACAAACAGAGCTGCCCAGTAAACCGTAGGCAGGGAGGGAGGAAGAGGACAACAAACGAGCGGCTGGGACAAATATATATATCATCAATCAGAGCTGCCCGGCATATGTTTTTTTAATTTTTTTCGGCCCAGCCGGGCAAGTGGTGCCGGGCTACTCTGGCAGCCTAGATTACTTTCGATTTTTTTATTTATTTTTTACCGACAAAATATTCGGAGAATCATGTACCACCTACTGCAGGCCCGATCGAGAAAAAAAAAAAGCCCTTAAATTTTGAAAAATAGACATGAAATATTTTCCCCTTTTCGGCATTAGTTGATATCATAGGTTGCAGGCGAAAATAATAAAATATTTCAGATCTATTTTTCTAAATAGATGTGATATCATACATAGGTTGCAAGGGACCCCTTATGATGATATCAGATCTATCATCTATCATAGGGTGCACAAACCACTCGTTTGGTTCTTTGCATGTGCCCGCTCCCCTCTTCTGTTGAGGCAGCAGTTAATTGTAAGGGACGTTGCGCTCCACGTTTCGGCGGCGCTTGCATATCCAAGACAGTCAAGATCTGAATGGTGAGAATGGTGGGTACAGTCCACCCTTCCTCCCCTCCCACCTCGTCCAACCCGACGATTGACAAGAGACAGCCCATGTCGAGCCCGGTCTGGAAGAAGGCCCACAAAATGAAACAAGTATTTCTTTTTTTTTTGTGGGGGGGGGGGGGGGTGGGGCGGGGGGGGGGAAGGCGGAGACCAAATAGTTGTCCCATGAACCCCCAATAAGGGAAAAGTGCATCCAGAACCCACTTAAAGATGGGACTAGCCTTTATACCACCAGTCCCACCGCCCAACTTACATCTGTACCCAAACCCTGTACAGCCTATTTTTCTTACGCGCTAAATAAGATCTGTACACGGTTGGAAGGTCCCCACAAAAACCAAACAAAACGTTGAAGAAACAAAATCCAAAACATCCGGAAACAAGACTATGTTATCGCAGTTATGCAACCAAAAAAAAAAGGAAAAAAAAAAAAAAAAAAAAGAACACCATTTGCCTCAGGGAGTCGGGGGAGGATTTCTCCAATGTTCTTTGTTTCTTTTTGTTTTCTTTTGGGTGGCCCGGCTGAACAAGTGGTCCTGGACCACTCTAGTAGCCAAGGTATGCTCATACTTTGCCCGGGTACGTTCACAATTTGAGCATTCTGGTTTAGGGTGCAACCGCAATTTGGCGGTGGTACCGACCTGGGCCCACCTTGGTCCCCAGCAATGACACACACGCCATTTCCCAGATATAGATGCTAGTTGGTCGCTGGGACTGGGCACAAAGAAAGTTCCCATCCTTGTGCAGGGGACAGATTCAACAGCTTCGAAAAGCTACAGATGGACTTTCCCCTGGGAAAAGGGAAAAAAAAAAAAAAAACTCGGCACATGCCATTTCCCAGATATAGACGCTAGTTGGTCACTGGGACTGGGCACAAAGAGAGTTCCCATCCTCGAGCAGGGAAAAAGCTACAGATGCACTTTCCCCTGGGAACCCACCCGCCCACCCCCCCCTCGCCTCGGCGGAGAGTCCCTTCCAGACGTCCTCGATTTAGACACAACGGACCCTGACATCCGGACCTTGTTGGTCTGCGTTGGGATCCCGACATCCAGCCGACCACCATGATGATATTGATCATAGATGTAATTAATGTCAGTATATCACCATGTGGCAACGCAGCTGACATCAACTACAATTTATGATCAACATCATCATGCCGATCACCATGATGATATTGATCACAAATGTGCCAACGCAGACCAACAGGCTCCGGTCACTCTATGTGAATGTGAAGGGAGCACATTCACATGAAGTGACACACGCGAAGCACAAATAAATGGTCAGAGTAATAAGTTTATCATATGACAAATACATGGCACTTTCACCAACGGGCCTGGCTCAGTTGGTACACCCACAAACTGTTGAAATATAGAGTGAAGCTCGAATTAAAAGAATAAAAAATAAAAAATACATGGCGCTTTGTAAGTTGGTATGCTTCAGAGGTGGTAATATATACAGCCACAAACGAAAAAGAAAAGTAAAAACATTTTGAAAAACGTGATAAAACACAAAACTACTGCCACAAAACTACTGCCACACAAGAGACGAGATCGGGTTCCCACAAACCTGTCGTCGAGCATTGGTTCGCGTTCCCACCAGTGGCATCTCTGCGAGTTGTTTCCCAAATACTCGAACAGTCGCTGCACAAACCGGTTTCTCCCTGCCCAAGCGAAAATCAGCAGGACATGCAATAAAAACTGATAAAATTAGAATAACCCCTGCACAGGGATGGCATGCAAACATGACGCCCGGGATACCCACGCATGGCCGGAAAAAAAAAAACAGAAAAGAAGTCCAGCGTCCCATGACATTGTGAATCAAGCACCCACCGGGACACCACACACATGTGAATACAGCACCAACCGGGACCCCACACGCACACACTCTTTGAGTTGTGTATAGTGAACATGACATAACATACACATAGCATAATCACTACCTCACCCTTCCCCAACCACATCAACAAAGAAACTACGGGCTGCGCACCCGTGCCGTCACGGTAAGTCAACGACCCTCAGCCAAAAGTTGTTTGTATCGCGAGTCTGCACAAAAAAAACATAATTTGTTTTCCGACTGCGCTCTTATTCGACGCAATACGTAGGAAAACGCTCTCTCTTTCCTGACGGAACGTGTCTAGTTCCTAATCCTACCCGCACCTCACGTTCACGACCCCGTTCCACTGCATCTCATAGACATGGTTGGGGGTTGAACAAGGGTTGGTCCTTCCCAACGACCCCCTTTCATGACAGGCTTTTTTTTTTGGGGCGCTGGTGCTGCCCTGGACCCTGCCGGGGGGGGGGGCATCCCTGGACGGGCACCTGGGCGTGTATCCGGGCACGAGTTGGGTGCCCCGGTGCCTGGGAAAACAGCCTAGTAATCATGTGCACCGCAGGACGAAAAAAGACTACGGGTGCCCCGGTGCCGGGCACGAGTTGGGTGCCCCGGTGCCAGGGAAAACAGCCGTTATTAGCTTCAGCTCCAGAAATCAAGACTAAGGGTCTGCTGGCACCACCAGTGCTGTGTTCATGTTACAAAAGCATGAACCAGACCATTGGTATGACCAGGTTCATGCTTTCCAAGGATGAATATAGCATCAGTGATGCTTACCCCTAGTCCAAGGAAAAGGGCGGCGTGGTCCCACTGGTGCGATGCTCATCCTGCGAAATCACAAACCTGACAATCTTTGCAACTGCCGTCTTCACCCGAATAAAATGCCCCGTTAATATTGCAGTATCTAGACTGAAAGTTGCACCGAATACAGCTATAATGACCAGATACTCTACCCGGGTGAAGACAGTAGGTTTACGTTTCACAAGTGTGAATAAAGCATCAGTGATGCCTGCCTGCCTTTAAGCCACCAGTACATCTGAGACTCTTTGACAAGTCGGATTCCCCGGGCGAAGATTTACAGAAACACCAGCACAGCACTTTTTCTTTTAAATTTGGCTAGCCACCAGCATTTGTTCTTTTTTTAAAAATAAAATCCAGGTTGCTGCGAGGGTAGGAAGCAGGGCCTACCCAACCAACGGGGGTGACCTGACCAGACAGCGGTTGTAGGCACCAGGGCTACGCAGGACCTACTAGTCGGACGAGCCCTGTCGTATGCATACTTCGAGCGCTATGTGCAGACATACATTCTACTACACGTCCCATAGGTAGACCCCATCCCTGTCCCCCCAAGTTGAGCTATTCGGTAGATGCGCCGTTGTTGTTGCAATTTGGAGCTAGAAGCTCTGGACTTTTATCAGTAGATGTACGGCCGCCATCTGCCCTTCTACCTATAAGACATCCCCCTAGACCTCTCTCTACGTTAGTCACATTGTTGTGGTTGTTGCCATTCTGTTCTTGGTTGCTACTTGTCAATGTGGGAATCAGGCCATCCCACCCTTATCTATCCATAAGACTGCCCCTACTCCAAGATCCTCCCTCCCCCAGGATGCCCTACCTCAGGGCTGTCCTTGCTAATCCCCCCACTAATGGGACCACCCGAATTCATCCCACCTGTGGCCCTACCCCGCCAAAGTAGAGCCCTAATGTAACCAACTCACGTGATCGATCTCTCCACAATACCCCTTGCCATCATACCAACTATCTCTGTACAAGCGAGACCTGATCAGATTAGAATAACGGGACCCCCCTATTCACCCCACTTGTGGCCCTAACGTAACCAACTCACGTGATCAATCTCTCCACAATAGCCCTTGCCTTCATCCCAACTATCTCTGTACAAGTGAGCGCCACCTGACCTGATCAGATTAGAATAATAGGACCCCCCTATTCACCCCACTTATGGCCCTACCCGACCAAAGCAGACCCCGTAACCAACTCATGTGATCAATCTCTCCACAGAGCACCCCAACTATCTCTGTATAAGTATGCTCCACCGGCCCGATCAAATTTGAACCCTCCACCTCTTCTATACGGCCCCTAGCTCAAACCAAACCAGCCGAGCTACAATGACAACTAATCTGTTCACGCCCTGTACTGGGCCAGGAGAGACGAGTGTGTGATCATGGGAACAACCCATGAACCAAGAACATCAGGCAAACCTCCTCTCATAGCCTAGACCCCAGCATACAACCATGGACTAACCTCCTTGGGTGCTACAGGCAGTGTCTGCAGTCCTTATCATGTGGTAAACCAAAGGGGGTATGGGAATGGTCGTGCATCGATCAACGCCTGCCGGTGTCCACGGTCGTCCAACGATCTGCCGGTGTCCAAGCATGAGACTGCAGGGTTTTGAACCCACAACCTCAGACCACAATGGGCGTTTCCAACCGGTGCTCTACCCACTGAGCTAAGGGCAATTCACTGCGCCCCAACCATTTTGGTCGGGTAGCCCCGACCCCTGAACGCTTTGGAATGCGCTCAATACGATTGTCACGTTTGCCTGCCTTCCCCCCTTTCCCCCCCCCCAGCCAGACTCT